AGTAAATGCAAAACCGCATCGTCATGCACAGGTCCGGGAATGCGGGCCATGCAACTTCGTGCTTCCCCGACGGTCTAGATGCCTGCTAAATTTGTACGACAAAGTCTCCTAAAGCCGCACTGTCAGTCACTCGAGCCGCCACAGGCCCGAGGCCAGAGTGGCCTTACTCAAAGTAAACGCAAATGGGCATGATGCGATCAGTGATCAGTCTAGACGAAACGAGGGCAAGGTATGGATGGGTTGATAGAGGATGCTTTGCCAGCCAGGCAGAAAGGATACGACGTGGTTGAGTTTTCAATGACATGCTATGGAACGGTTTTACTCTTGTGGTGAGGGTAACGGTTTGCAAGGACGATTGCTGCCGATAGATGCACATTATGCCAAACCCAAATCTCGGACGAAAGAAACCACTTTCACCGACTTCAGGTTCAGAAACTGGCTGGTTCAAGGACAGGAGCTAGGGAGTCTATTGCGGTAAAAGAGCCAATATTCTGCAGACCTCACAGCAAGGACTTGAGTACCAAGTCCAGCAGAGCGGCAAGCCAGCCGTTTCGGAGAATAAATGCGTGGGGGGGGGGGGCAAGACCTTCTTATACCCAGACTACCACCTCTTCGAAAACGACTAAACTCAATCGATCAATTACACCGGAAAGATCTCCGGCCTTCCAATGCCTGAACTGCAGTATCCGCAGCAACCTGGAATTTTGGAATGCGGGTCGTGGCATGATCTTTGTATAGCCAATTGCCAAGAACCAGTTGCGTCAGATGGGATCTGCTCAGAACTTGAGCTTTGGCACTGAAAAACTACGTCGGAAACTTCGACTAAGAAGATAGTTTCATTGACAGTCTGGTCTAATTATCGCTCGAGGTTAATGAGCGGAAGAATGACCCGCAACAAAGAGATGGAGGTCACGGATGACAAGGCCAGACCCAAAGATCGGCTGCCGATCGGCCACCAGAGCCGTGGTTGAGTCCGGCATGTCCTGCCTCTGCCATCCGCGACCACCTCTGTTCTGCTTCTTTCTTTGAGACCAGGTTCCTGGAACAGACCCCAGCCTGTATCCACGGCTCTGGAATTGCCGGCATAGTTCAGAACATTGTCTACGCAGGTTCCTCGAAATCGCACTGACAGCAAAGGCAGGCCTCATTCAGAAAGGTCCTGTAGTATCGCTAGCCGCGCTTACTAGCGGGACAATCATGCAGGACCGGTCGACTGTATGCATGCAGGCCCTATTTTTGCGCTGCCAAACCTGAACATTGGGAGTAGATAGCGGATGATAATGGAGGCACGCCCCTGGACCTCAGCTGACAAGCCCGCAATGCTTTCGAATCGCAACGCTGCAGACAGCGATTGTTGACGTTATACCATTCTCAGGCCGAGTCTGAAACTCCAGGGAAACTGCACAAGGTTATAATGCCGAGTCAGAAAACCAGGACCCCGCGTCAACAAAGTTGCGGATCGGGATTCCGGGGCCTCCCTTGCTCCAGCGTCTATGGTCTGCCGCCTTGCTGCACATCCCCATCCCTACCGAAGGAGACCATGTAAGGTCTGATAGGTCCTCAGAGTCAGTGCGCTCGGACGTTCGAGCTCTGTTTACGCCTTTCTGCATTGGCATGCGCCGGGGCTCCTCCCCGACCTAGCCACCGTCCAGCAATGGGGCTGCCCTAGTCCAGGATAGGCATCACTGTTATTTTTGGGGAGGAGATGTATAAACATATCCCCTCCGCCCTTGACCCTTTCTTCGTTTCTGGCCATCCTCATTCCTTCGTTTGTACCTAGTCTCTCCTTTGAACCTGTATGAACTGCATCCGTCCCTTTCATTTCTCATGAAGTTTCTGCTTGTCTGAATGCACCACATCAAATTCACACCGGCGTCATAATCATAGCCCATGGCTGACGGATATCCTCGGCCTCCCGGCGAATCCAACGCCTTTCACAGCTGCCGGAACCGATCACAGACTGCAAGCATTTTGCCAACAGCTACGCCACCTAGGAAGCGGGCATCATCATTCTATACTGTTAGAGGGCCAGAGATTGTTGACGAGTCAATCCCTGATCCATTCTACCTGGAGCATACTCCAGGAGGCGCCTCGCCCTGGGGCAGTCGTCGACCGGGTAGTCGCGATGTGAGAGGCAGTGAAGAAGGTAACCCGTATTCAATGATATCCTCGGTGTATTCCAAAGACATTCCCTTTGCTGTCACTGCACGCGGTGAATCTGCGAGATTGCGATCCAACAACAACCGATCTACCTTGTCTGTGGTCGAGCTAGAACATCAACTTGGTCTTCAGCAAGTTGCATCATCCCGTCCGTGGGGAACAGCCTCTGGGCATCACGACCACAGTTCGTTCAGCTCAGTGCAGACCGAAGCGACACCAGACTTGACACCCAGCAGCTCCTTCTCATCCAATTACTCTGCTCCCATCTATCCTGACAACTCCCTCCCCGCGGTAGAGTCTCTGCCAGTGCACGCCCCTCCCATCCCGCCCAGTCCTAGACACAACGTATATCCTTACTCGTCCACTCCCTTGAACCAGTCGCAAGTAACTTTGTGTACACAGCCCTCCACGCCTGTACGACAAGGACGACCGCATACAGCGACGCCTAACGCGTCGTCGGATACCCTGGTCATGCACCAAGGAGACAGTCACGATCCTCCCTCCCATCGTGGGAAGCCATTGCCATCTTTACCTAATGGAGCCCGGAATGGCATTGCCCATAGCGGCAGGAAGGGACCCCCTCCACCAATCCGGCCTCCTATTGCTCCGTCAATGATCTCTCCCCCGTCTCGCATCAACCCCGTGACTATGGAGCCACACGCCACTCATTTTGAGAAAGCAATGTTCATACCTTCAAATGATTGTCCGAGTCCTGTACCTAGTCCCAGTCCAGGGTCGCCCTTGCTTGAACGCTATCCCACCGCCAGCTCAGCGCGTGATCGTCCATCCACCTCAGCGTCACGACCAGCTTACTGCGAACAGTCAGTCTGGGAATCCGACTCGGACACCGAGTCGGTCGATCCCAAGTCGCTGTCCAAGAAGCCAATGGACAAGTTGAAGAAGGTTCGCAGTCGAGTGCATCTAAGGGTAGCCAAGTCGGCGCCAAAGCTTCAACCTCCGCAAACACCCAACAGTCAGCACAGCAATCAATTGGAGAAGTTCTCTTCCATGCCCGATCAGCCCCCAGAGGATCTCTGCCCGTCTCCCGCGCGGAAAACCGTTAAGGCGCGGTCACGAGAGGCTTTGCGGCCAGCGGCTGAGACATTGCGACTGGTTGCCCCATCCACGACTTCTCTAGTACCACCGCAGTCCAGACGCGGCAGCGGTCAAGCGCGCACCATCGACATTGACCGAACAACTGCAGCTGCAATGCAAGCGAAGTCACGACGCCGACCCCGGTCTGACTCGAAGAAGTCACTTTCCCCGGAGCGTGAAAAAGTGTGCACTCTCTGTCGCGAAGAGCGATCCGACAAGGCCATCCTATCCCTGGCACGACCCCCACTCTATAAACGGGTGTGGGAGTCATTGCGTGTGCTGGGCTGTCATGGCGACATTACACCTCCTCGGTCCCGCAGACCCATGTAGTTATTCCCGATCCTTTTCATTTTCTCATTCCTGTTCGAAAACCAAAAGTCCTATACGGCGTTAAATGATGTACGGCTATTTGCTACGATCTACCAAAAACCACCCTCACGGCCCTGTCCGACGATACTGAATGGATCGCCATGATTGATCTAATGTTTATGACGCTGAACGCAAAACGACCCGCCAAAATCCCTACCGGCGGATGATGACAATCCACATACATATGATGGATGCGCGGCACCATCCATGCCCATGTCCAATCAATGACCTGACGAGACGAATATCCCCTGAGATGGAAATCTCACCGGTAGTCTCGAAACGATGCAATGCAATGCGAACGCGCTGCGATGATTCATGTAACGATGAGGCAACGAACTGATTACGATAGTTGGTCTCATACCACTCTTTTTTCTCACTTACTTACTGATTTATGCTGATGCCTGTCTGTATTTGTGTCCATCATGACACCCATTTCCTTGTCTGTCTGTCTATTTATCTACTGTCACTCGCTCCTAACCACCCACACTCGCTCACTACCCACTATTGCTTGCAATTGCCCGCACGGGCGCGCCTGTCACTCACTCCATACTACATCAATTACTGAGCTCTTCTCAATCTATACCACAAACATACATACCATATACAATAGCAAAGAAAACCACATTCACCACACCCAATGAATACCCCATTCCTCACCGTAGCCATCCATCCATCCATACCTCATGAATTGACCGACACCATGTTCTCTTTCCCAATACGAACAAACCAAAACAAACGGAACCACAAAGGCCCAGATTCCTACCTACTGAAAAGAATTTCCACCGGCATGTGTGGGGTTTTTCCAGCGAGGGGTTCCAAAGTAAAAACACGGGAACTTAGTCTACTGTAGTTCAGTCCTTGGCTTTATCCATTCACCCATTCATTCATTCATCCCTTGAAGCGATGCGATGCGATGCGACGCGGCCGCGGGCTAGCTTGGGCTTACTAGGGATGTTCCGTTCCATCCCTTGAAGAAATGAGGGAGGATCTGGCTACTACTGAATTTTTCAATGAGTGACTCGCAGCATGAAACCGGTTTTTGGCGGCCTAAGTTTAGTACTTTTGTGGATTTTGGTTGAACGATTGAATGGTTGGTTGATTTGGGTCTTGTGCATAAGGTTTTTGTCTATCGTATCTAGCTAGGAACTTTCTTTGTATAGATGGATGGATAGGTAGGTAGGTTAGGCTTTAGTAGTGGCGGCTTGGAACGAACACCACTCATTATTTCAAACCAATTCTAACACCATATATATAGATAGATAGTATCTGTCTTCTGCTCAGCACAACTACATACTCTCAACGTAGTCATTTCACATCCAGCGTGATCTAGCCACCATCCAGCCATAGCTGCACAAACGCCATGCAAGCAAAGTCCCCTCCGTACCTTGCAGCCACGTCCCGTCTCGACCATCCGGCCATCCTGTCCTGCCGTCCCGACAGCAAGCAGCAGGGGGAGGAGCCAGCCAGCCAGCCAGTCCGCCAGGTAGCCATCCCGAGACCAGACCCCGACGTATGTATGCACTGCTTCAAAACTGCATACAAGCCAAGACTGCCTACCGGCAAACAAGCAAGCAAGCAGGGAAATTCCTGCTGCGGGTCTCCTGGAAAAAACATCCAGTCTAGGCTGACATGGCCCCGATCCTCTAGTTGAATTCCGACAGGCGCAAGGGCCCGCCAGAAACAAAAAAATAGAGGTGGGAGAAGGATAAAAAGTACCATCCTCAATCACCCATTCAGCTCTCCTCCACATCCACCTCCTTCCCCTCAGCAGCAGTAGTATCCTTCATTTCCAACGCATCCATATTCTCCTCCCACCTCGGCACCCTCACTTTCTCCTCCCACTTCCCTATCGCCCCCTCACCCTGTCTCCCAAGCCTAACCTCAGCTTTCTCCCCCTCCGAAATCTCTCTCTCACTGATCCCCTCGAATACCTTCCGCACATCCAACTCCTTCACGGCCTGTTGGTACAACGCTAGTATCTCCGCGCGTTTGGCTTGGCGTTCCTCGTCGGTAATTGTAGTAGGAGTAGAAGTAGCAGTGGCGGCGCCATTGGTGCTGGTAGCACCCTTCCGACCACCCGCCAAAGGCAGCTTCTTCACCACGGATTTCTGGCTCTCGTCGTACCCGCGTAGCACGCCCTCGAGAATACCGAGGATCGTACCGGCGCGCATGCCGAGTTGGGCGCCGATGGGGAATCCGGCGTCGAAGCCGGATTGGACATGGGAGGTTTTGGAGGCGCTGATGCCGTCGCGGTAGCCGGCTGTGACGTGTTGGCGGCGGAGGGAGGGGAGGTCGGAGGGTTCGGTGGTGGTGGTGGTGCTGGGAGGGTGATGATGGGAGTGGTGGGTTGTGGGTGGGGGGGAGGAGCCGAAGATGTCGTCGAGGGTGGACATGCTGGTTTATAGTTTATTGATTGTAGAGGTGTGGTTTGTGAATTGTTTGTATGTAAAATAAGGAGTGGTGATGGTGATGGTGGTGTTGGTGTTGGAGAAAAATTTGGGCGGGGAAGTGATGTGATGAGATGATCGGCTGGCGGGGTGGGTCGGGGTTGGTGGGGTTTAATCTATTATCTACTACAGAGTATCTATCAGGGCATGAGCTGGTCTGATCATAAGTTGCAATAGATTATATTCAAATGGGAACTGGGTTTTATTCGGGCTTAATGATAAACTAATATTTGAATTGTAATGTGATTGTGTTCGTCTATTATACATCCTGTCAGATCATCCTTCAGGCTGCATCGGACTAAATCCTTAACACAATCCAAGTAATAGTAAACTAACAGCTAATTAGCGGAACTCAGGGTCATACGACCAAATCTTTTTCGGAGCCTGATTCTTAACTGAGTGATCTTCCTTATTTATATCCGAAGCTATCCAAGCACAAGTCTCAGCCCAAATTTCTTTATCCCATTGACTCTATATATATCCTGCACACAACCACTTCAATTTTTACTTATATATTCCCCTTCTTCATTACTACTAGTCAACACCTTCAATAGAAACGATATAATGCGCCCCTCAACCCGCCTCCTCATCCTCACCACACCCCCAATCATCCTAACCTACACCACCCACCGCTACCTCTGCACCCTCGAAGCCAAATATCCTCCCATCGACCCAACCACCACCACCAGCCTCGCTCTCCGCACCCCAAGCAATCCAACAACCCAACACTGTCCCGAAATTGACGTCTACGAGGCCAAACACATACCAGTAAAATCACTCTTGAAGCGATACTCTACACTTCTCAAATCCCATCCCACCACCCATGACCCCCACACCGTCAACAAAGCAACCCTAACCAACGCCTGGATCCTCACCTTCCTCAACACCAAACCCCTAATAGTCGAAGGCAGCCTCGCCGGCTTAATCAAGAATAAATCCTACAGTCCCGGGGATACGGGCCTCACTGACCCGGAGTTCATACCTACATCGACACCTACAAATGCATCTTCACTCACATATAAACTCTCCTCCATCTTCACAACCCCTAAACCCAAAACTCCAGACCACACAACAGAGAAAAGCAAAGAAAGCGACCGCCGCCCCCTCCTCAACTCCGTTTTCACAGCCCAACACTCCTCCCCCACAACAGGCCTCCTACTCTCATGGTACATGCCCGACGAACCGCGCCTCTTCTTCGAGAAAATCGCCCGATGGGGATACCCCTGGCGACTGATGAGCGGGGGGCGACACGAGCTCAGTATCTCAGAGGTGTATATATACCAGGGGGAAGAAGTAGTCGATGTACGGTTTGCCTCGGCACATGATTATCAGATTATAAGTGACGAAGAACAGAAACAGAAGATAGTTCCTGCTTGGGTGGGGAGGTTGCATCGCGGGTATGCGAGGGCGTTGGTGGATTGGGCTGTGAGGGATTTGGATGCTTAATTAATCTAATTTGACTAGTCGCGACAATCTCCGCTCTGTATATATATACCATATTCATATTCAGTACATATGATCTCATACCCCTCCACCATAACATATCATCAACCGCCGGAGAAAGCGAAGTGAAGAGAAGAAAAGAAAAGAAAAGAAAAGAAGGGAGGTTAACAATCCCCCCCATGCTCCACAACCCCCCACCCCAACCACCCCCAATACTTAACACAAACCTCCCACCCATCGCGAATCACCTCTACCCTTCCAGAGCCATTCCCGCTGCTCCCGCACACATCATACAGACATAAATCGTATGTCGTCGCGCCGGGGCTCTTCCACGAGAAGGTGTCCACCGCGGACACATTCACGCTGGAATCAAGGGTCTCGCATCCATCTGCTGTGCCTGAGACGCCTTGCCGGTGGAAGAGCGATAGCTCGAAGCTGGTGGTGTTGGGGTCGCAGCCTGGTGAGAAGAGGCGGAGGTCCCACTGTATATCATCGTAGGAGGTGTTAGTGGGGAGGGGAATATAATAGGTTTGGGGGATGGGGGGCGAACGTTTTTGTAACGGAGGGTTTCTAAGGAGGAGGTGTATGCTGTTGGGAGGAAGAGGAGGGTGGTGGTAGTTAGAGTGGGGAGGAGGGTGAACTTCATTTTTGATACTAGTAATGACGGTAACTATTCATGAGAAGTCAGAAAATGGGAGGAGGCTGGGCTGTCTATATTTATATCATACAGACAGACCCTGCAGATCAGGCACGCTAGTGCTTCACATCTCCGCTAATGCAGGGATCCGGACCAAAGAGCGAACGAACCATGGGCTCGCTTACCCTCGCACAAAATGTCATCTGGATACTTTCAATGCATCCGTCTGAATTCTTCATTCATGTCTAGACTCTTGAAGGTTTTATGCTATATTTAAAATACATCATGGAAACTGACTGGCTAGTGTCTGCCCGGGGTTAATCTCCACGCCCGGAGTGGCAGACCCTGCAGTTTCAAAACAGCCGGCCGGATGAAGAAGAAAAATGTCACTACGCCAATCAACACACACAGGATATTTGTCGTGTAGTATCCGTCGTGTTGGACGTGGCAGGTGCCTCCTCCGTTGACGCAGCGCGTCCGGTCTGGCTCTAGTGCACATGAGAAGGCCTCCGTGACGAGGTCACCCTTTAGTTTCTCGGACGGAGGTGGCACCGTTGGTGGAACACATGTTGCCTCGGTGAACATGTCCACTAGCTTGAGGATGAAGTATCGGGGGAATGTACCGCCCAGATTGGAGACACTGTTAGATGATTAGTAAAGGTCCTTTGTAGAATAGGGTAGTAGTCTTACGTTGCGAGCATTGTCATGTAGGTACCGCCAATGCTTGGGTCGGCGATGCGCGCATGGAATGCACTCACCGCCACAAACATCACCGTGTTCATGAAAGTCGAAAACACATGCTCTCCAATCACTGTCAGCAGGTACCAGAACGGGACCTGCTCGGCCGACGGGAAAATCATCACCGTGATCTGGGCCAGAACGGCTGCCGCCAGTCGTCCGATGAACGCCCAGCACCACAGCCGCATGGGTGTGTACTCCGTCGACCATTTGCCAGCGTAGTATCCCAGCCCGATTTCAAAAGGAAAGTCGATCAATACCACTAGCGCCATGTTGTCCTGGCCAAATCCCTTGTCCAACAGCTTCAGACTTGTCACGCCGTCGTTGGCTTGGAAACCGATCTTGGCGATCAGATGGACCAGGATAATGGTGTGAATGTTCTTAAGCTTCAGCACATTCCACATACTGCGGTACACGTCCATGATGCTATCGCGTTCATGTGTCCGGTCTTCCTTCTTCATGACGGCCAGACAGGTCGTAACAACTAGATAAGCCCAGCCCCAGAACTTCAAGTACGTGCCCAGCGACAGCAAACCACCTTCCGCAGGAACGGTCCGGAACCAGCGGTTAGCAAAGTCGGCCGAGTTGAAGGCCAAAAACACAGTGTAGGACAGGAAGTGGCCGGCTGTCAAACCCACCGTCTGAGCAGTCGATGCGTAGGAGATATTCGGTGGCGACATGAGGGTAATTGCCCATCCATCGACCGCAATATCTTGCGTAGCGCAGAAGAACACCAGCAAAAACCACCAGTATGTAAAGTTCCAGACGCCAGCACCACCATTGGCGCCCGCCTGCTGCATCATCTCTTCAATGCGTCCGCCGAGATAGATCATGGCCAATCCGGCGATGACCTGGATGGGTGTGATCCAACTCTTGCGCCTGCCGAACCGCCGGCTCCAGATGGCATCAACGATAGGGCTCCAAAGCAGCTTCAACGAGTAGGGGTAGGATGCGAGTGAGAAGACACCGATTTGACCGTATGACAGGTACGGCTTCAGTAGGAAAGGGACGGACCCGGTGGCCAGACCCATGGGGATACCCTGGAGGAAGTATAACACACACAGCAGCAGAAAGTTTCTCCGGTCGCTGGCGGGCAGATTCGCGAAAGAGGTCGTTGTCATGGCGGGCGTTTGCGGGGTCATTGGAGGATCTTGGTCTAGAGTGAAACTAGGACGTGACATGAGGCGATTCGCCCGAGCGGATGTAGACTCGACAGAGGTGTCCCTCTTCCGCATCTCGATGGAGGAATCCATACTGTCGCTCGCGTAGCCGTTCTGGCCCGTCGCTATGGTCAAGGAGGGCTTGGAGCGGCGTTTCAAGACCGTGCGGCCTTTGCGCTTCATGGGTGATTTGCCACGATGGGAGGGAGCGTGTGGGTGTCGTGAGTGTAGAGAGTGACTGGGGGAATCCGAATCGGAGTCGTCGGGGTCAGATGGTGAAGGCGAGAGAACGGCGGAGTGTTCGGGGCGATAGTCAGAGAGGTGGTCTGTGTAATGTAAAGGATGGTGGTGTTCACGCGTGTCGGTGCTGCATGCTAGAGACTGGAGTTCCACCTCCTGAGGACGATCCGCTGCGGAATGACGATGTTCGTGGGAAGAGTAGGGATCCGCAGGGTCATGGAGGGAGGAAGAAGCGGAGAAAGGGGGAAGACGGGAAGAGGGAGACGAAGAAAGGACTGGAACAGGCCGGGATGAGGCATCCATTCGACGTGGTGGAGAGAGGCGAGTAAACTTGAGGCAAGCTGGCCTCAAGCGTCAAGCTTGTTTGTCCACAGCTGCTTGGCTGGAACCGGCGATGGCTCCCTTGTGATTGGCTGTGGTCAGCCGTCATTATTAATGTTGCGCATTAAGGGCCTGGCGATCCCTCCATGCGTTGATTCTTCAGATGCAGATGGAATTAGTACCTTAGTAAAGATCTCGTGCTGGGGTATTCCTGTGTGACAACAGAGCCTCCAATTATGACGACTCATCGCTATAACTTATTATCTTCTCCACCATAAGGTTCAATACTTATACATTACAGTAACAATAACAACTCTATTCAACATACACCTCAATAGCTTATTCAAGGATAAACATTCAACTCTCCTCCCCTCCCCCCAAAAGCAAGGACTAAGCAAATACCCAGCCGACCCAGCACGGTGGATCACAGACCAGGATACAATTTCACCCGCCAATCGAACTGCAACCTTGAAAGGAGCCGCGGGCCCGGGATCCCCCCTCACGTGATGCAGCTCCTGTCAACAAACACCGCCTATCACCACCACCAAACATAGTACTGTAGTCGTATCTATCTCCGCCCAAGCTCCATCACCACTAAACCCTCCACCACCTAAACAACAAACAACATCCTCTACCCCTCAAAAATGGACACCGACGACCTCGACTCCGAAATCTCCTCCATCCGCGCAGAAAGTCCGTCCCCTAACCCCCCACCCCTAAACAACCAACTAACCCACCCGCTAGTCCGCACCCTCCAACACCGCCGTCGCATCCTAACAAGCAGCCTCCTCTCCTCGCGCGCACTGCAACGCCTCTCCAAATCCCAACCACCAACCCTCTCCTCCCAACAACACCAACAACAATGGACCGACATCTCCCCCCTAATCCAAAGCACCTCGACACACGCGCAAACAAACCACCACCGCATCGCCTTCTCCACAACCACCTTCCCCTTCACTGACCCCTCACCCACCTCCGAATCCCCCAACCTCCTCGGCATCCGAATAGACATTTGCGCGCGCGACGGAACATACACGAAACCATACTACATTCTCCTCCGACGGATAACCCCCAAGACACCTCAAGATGGAGGGAAGAAGAGAGAAGTGCGCGTGCACAAACACACCGTTCCGGCAGTAGTGGATATGAGGAAACTGGAGAAAGTGTTTCTGCCGACTTCAACCGCTCTAAATACTTCCCAGGATGGGGAAGAAGACGCGATGATGGACGAGGGTCAGGAACAGGAGCGACAGCTCAAACCATGGAAACACAAGACGCGCAAACAGGATCTCAAGTCCTTCGTGCGGGAAGTGCGCAAGCAACTAGTCGTGTGGCATTTACGGTGTGATGCGGTGCGCTACCTGCGAGAAAAGTTGGGTGTTGTGAGACGCGGGGTCAATGATGATGATGCTATCTATGAGGATGATGAGAGGCCGTGGGAGAGGGATGTTCTTGGTCCTAATGCTTCTACGACGGCGGCGACTGGGAGCAGTGGTGCTGGGGAGGAGACGCGCATAGCGAAGAATGAGCTGGGGATTGTCTCGTTGGCGCCGACGGCGTTGGAGGCGGTTTATGTGCGGGTGGAGTGGGAGGATGGGCGTGTGGGGAGGTTCAAGATTTCTAGTACGGGGGTGGTGGAACGGGCGGTGGTGATTGGGGATAGTGGGAGAGATAAGCAGACTGAGGGGGTTATTACGGGCGGGGATGGGAGGGTTGAGACGTTGTTGGAGCGGCTGGGGAAGAGTCGTGGAGGTGGTAAGGAGGCTGGGTCTGTTTCGCCGGTTTCTGATGCGTGATCGATTAACTGGTTGGTGAGATTTCGTGTGTTTATTGGCGTTTACTGGGTGCATGACTAGCGAGCTGTGCTTTCAGATACTCCAGAATTTGTTAGAATTCATCATTTCATATTGTGGGCTGACCGTCCTATTGGAAACATAAAGCAAGGTCTATTATAAAGGGGAATATCCACTATCAACGCTATGCACATGAATGAACCTGTATAAAAGCGGCTGTCGTATATGATGCTGGATGCTCGCTCCTGAACGACACCAGGCAGCGACAGAAGAAGTGTAAAGAAAGGCCAAGGAGTGACAAGAAAGTAATTAATTACAAAAAGTGTAGAAAGTGTAGTGAGTATGAGACATTAGTGTAGTAGTATATAGGAACTGCATATATGCATGATGAGACCGAGGGAAAAAGGAAAGGGTATCACTTAGGCATCACATCATAATCAAAGCACCTGTCCCCCTCTCTTGTGGTGCACCGGTCCCTCATCACCGCTGGCAGATCCTGTCTGGTCGGTCACGCAAATGGCCGAGTCGCGCGTTTCATAATGCGAGTCGTTAAACGACAAAGGGGGCAGTGGCCCGTACGGCTGCCCGTGTTGCACTTCCAGTTGCTTTCGCAAGATGGCTTCTTCCAGGGTCCAGCGGTGTCGTAACCTCGACTTTTTGGCGTCAAATGCTTGTAAAATGTCTGCTTCTTCCTGCTGATGCTTCTGCTGCATCCGCGCAAACTCCAAGGCATGCTTATCAATCAGATCATCCAGCTCTCTTTCCATTCGCGCGATGGCTTCCTGGAGTCGCAGTTCTTGGCGGTCGCGCAACACCTTGATCTTGGCTTGATGCAGTTGGTCCATGGTGTTGTGATCGTGATACTCTTGTGCCAACTGAGCTTTGTGTTGCGCGGTAAACTTGCGACTCGGCACTGGGTCTGCTTTCGATCCGGATACGGGCGATGGTGGCGGGCTCGAGTTATTAAAGAACCCTTCCATGTATTTGATGCGCGTGCGCGAGTTCAGTTTCGCGCGTTCGAATTCTCGCATTTGCTCCATTTCCACTGTAAGCTGTCGTTCCTCCATGCGGATGGCATCGGCCGTGTTCTGCAAAGGTCAGTAACTATGATACAGCCATTAGTAATAATGACGAACCTTCTCGCGCTTCTTTTCTTCCGTGCGCTTGTTCTCTGCAAGTTGGTCCGTAACGATAGACTGCTGTCTCCGTCGCAGTTGTGCCATGAATGCATCCTGAAAAGCATTATGCCGGTTCATCTCCGCTATGTGGGACTCGCGCATCTGGTATAATTGTGTATCATCCAAGCTTCGCTGCATCGATTCATGGTCGAAGACAGGGATCTCCAGCCTGAGAACCTGTTTATCTTCCTCGGCGGAATCGTTATTTTGTGCTTCCGACGGTTTCGACTCGATGTATACTTGTTCGACGCCTTTTTCGCCTTTAGCGACGGTGATCTGCGCGGCGGGCGGAAGGAGGACGGGGGATGGCGATCGCTTCTTCCTAAAATGGATCTTCCCGATTGCCGACTTGAGCGTTGATTTTCTTCTTTCCCTTTTATCCGCGGAGGTCATGCTAAACATTGATGCACGGTTCCCGGGTGGCCTAGCGGCTAGGCTATCTATCCCCGGCGCCAACCTTCCCTCAAAAGAGCTATAAGATGTCGGCCGAGTAGACATGGACGCGAATGACCGAGTGCTGCCAGCCTGGACAGGCTCGGAGGCGACGGTAAAATTGGAGAGGGACGAGGCAAGTTGATCGATATGCGGCGGGGTCTCGAGGGACGGAATGACTTCGTATGTTGAGTTGCGATCGGTCGAGGAGCCAGAGGATCTGATGGGAGAGGACAAGTCCACCATACCGGAGGCAATGGATGCAGCCAGAGATGCCACCACCTCGACTTCCGGCACCTTTAGCCCCAGTTGACGTGCATCCTCCACCAATTTTTGTTGTCGCGCCGTTTCTGATTCCTCGGAAGGTAGAAGAAGAACTTCAGTGCGGTACCGAGACTCGTCGACCTCGGTCAAATATATCGGCTCCATGATGCAATTGGCGATGGGCGGGATCGTTAATCACACATGGAGCACGTATCCCGGCAGAAAAATGACACTAATAACAATAACGCCGATAGGCAGTTCGAAAAATGAAGAAGATGGGCAGTACGAAATAATAAGGTAGTAAAAGAAAAGGGGTTCAAGTATCAACGACGCGAATCGCGAGACGCTAGAAGGCTCGTCCACAGTACTAGAAGCACGGTGGACGAGATGGAGGCGCTCAAGAGCAGCATCCGACTTGCGGGGAGGGGCGAAATCTGAAAAGAGACGGGATGGGAGAAGGAGAGGGAAAGGAGGGCGACTCGTCGACTGAGGACGGAGGAGTCCAAAGAGAGGGAATGAGCTAATGAGAGAGAGGATTACTCTGCGGCGGGCCAACAGCGAGCAGCAGAGGCAATGCGACAACCTGATTTGGGCCTCAAGTTCGTTATTGTTATTATTGCGACCCACGGCCCGCCTGACCGATTCTTCCTCATTAAACGGCGGCGGAGGCCCAGTGGTAATCTGCTGCATCCACTATGGGGGGTGGGCTGGGTGGTGTGCTTTAGTGTGTATGGGGGATCGTTGCAGAATCAGCACGTTGATTATCGCGGCGCTTTTTTTTTTTTTTTTTATTTTAATCGGAAGGTAAGTAATTAACCATATTCCCTGTCACCAGAACAGAGAAAAAGGGAAAGAAAGGGCAAAAAGAGTGATAATGGTCATTGTTGAATCTGACACAAAGTGACCAACCAGGCTGTCAGCCATGTTACTCTCAACCTCGGGACCGACTCAGGCACCAGGGCGTGGATACGTTACCCGCGTAATCCTCATACCTCCTTCCCCATTTTGCCTGGCAAACCGCCCGTCACTTCTGAAACAACCCCCTCAATCGGGCCATGATGTAGGGTATAGGGTAGGGCCACTGAGTGTCAGCCGCCCACCACAGTGACCAAACAACGTCAACCGCGGTTTCAGCCACTGCAACACCATGGCTTAAGGTCAGGAACCGCCGCTTCAGGATCCCACGCGGTCTGTTATAAGGATTGGCATGGTGGCCCACTGTTCCTGAGTTTTTCTTTTTCCAGACCCTTCTCTTCATCACGCTTTTTTTCTGCTCGTCCAGTAACATGCTGATCAATTGAAACCGATGGGGACCGGTAGTTGCTGGGTCGCTTTCTAGTGCCAGACTAGGCAGGAGGGGTGATGATGGTGGTCTGATGTTTCCATGGATGGCTTGAGTCTTATCCATCCTGACAACTGACCATCTTCACCGCTTTTTACCTCACGCTACACATTAAGAAAGCGAGGTTGCGATACAGAAAATCTCATTTGTGTAGATATGTGTCTATGATACATCTCTCGAGACAATACATCTACCTCGACAACATGGCTGCTGCCATGGCATATGTCTTCTCTCTTGCATCAGCCTGCACCGTTCCCGGGCGAGCAGATTTATCCCAGCCGTGATTGCAGCTCTGCATCCGCTGCCGCACCACCTCCTTCCCCGGTTCCTTGGCAATTTTCTCCGCCAGCGCCTCCGCCTCAGGCGCCAAGTTGTCGCAGGCCGCACTGACAATCATCACCCGCGCAGGGAATCGGTCGGCACTAGCATAGAGCGGCGAGATTCTCGGGTCACGGGTATCATATGCAGCATGCGTGTAACACCTGTCAAAGATCTTCGAGATGAAAGCGGGGATTGCTCTACCTGAAGTATCCGGTGCGGTCTTCAACGCCGGATTCGTATGCAGGTCCACCACGGGATAGACCGCCAGAACGGAGTGGAAGGTGTCTGGCGAGAACAGGTTGGCCGCAGCAGCCAGGGAGAGGTTACCGCCCGCACTGAACCCCGACAAAGAGACACGGCTAAGATCGAATTTCTCGGGCTGTCCCAGAACCCACTTGGCCACATCCTCGGCATCGTTGAGAGCTGCGGGGAAGGGATTCTCGGGTGCTAGGCGGTATTGGACATCGAGGACCGTACGGTCGGTTTCGCGACTCATCTGGCGACAGAATGCATCGTCGGCTCCGTGACGAGGGAGCATAAACCCACTGCCGTGGAAGTTGATCAACACGGGGGTCGGCCCAGTGGATGCGGTTGCATTTCGGTAGACGTGGGCTTTGATGGTCCGTCCTGAATCCCGCGACGGAATTTGAAAGACGTCATCTGGCGTAGCTTGCGTATTTTTCTCGGGGGCGATGAACCGCCTGATCACGAACGCAAGAAATTTGTAGTAAATGTACACGATGGAAAACATTGCGGGGTTGTTTGCCGTTTGCCGAGGAAGACGAACAGGCACAAAAGGTGAGCTTAGCCAAGATATCAATCGCAGCACTGCTGTAAGAAGATGCTCAGGAGACAGGGCATGAATGAACACGTAGGAAAGTCGCTCCAATTTAATTTCCCTTTCTTATCTCGCTCGCTCCACCCGAGGATGACGAAATATTCGCGTGGCTATCGCGAGCGCCATTTTTGGTCGGTTCCACTAACGGGCCACGATTCCACTAACCACCCATTCCACCAAAAGCTTGGTGCACGAGGCCGTGCTTTTGTGTCATTCGAGTACCGCTCGGAGAATTTCACCCAACACCATTAGCAAAACTCAACAGCTATATAGTAGGACAAGCGAAATCATCTGCTCTGTGGACATGTCCTGTGTAACTCGAGGTTTTCCGCGATGTTCCGAACATCTTGGGAGCCGAGGTGCAGCGGTTATATTTGTTGTCGTGATCTCTGCCAATTAGCTACTAGTAAGTAGTAGGGAATGATGCGGCATGTCTGAGGTTGAAACTCGGACACCCGTGGCCCATTTCATGCTTGTACTCTGTTAGTAGTCTGAGGCAGATTTAAAGTTTTAGCATTACTCCACCAACAGGTTGGAATGAAACGCTATTCGAGATACTGCTTCACACTTCGGTCATACCTCGGCTAATCTTTGTTGAAGCATATGGATATGTGGATCATAGCTGATACTTATGCTAGTATTGGTCACTTGAGAGTTACCTGATTCAGTGTCTATAAGAAAGAAGTGCATATGATAAAAGTATACTCTCAAGCGGGTTACATTACTCAAATAACGTGACATTTTATCACGGTTGGACAGTATAGCAAGCAGATGAAATAGCAAAATGGAATCTGAAGAGGAGGCCTTGTGTCGAACAGTAAGATCGGATTTATTAGAGCTGTACTGATGTTATTATAAGGCAGCTGAGAGAGGTCACATATGCAACGCGCCTACCAAATCGGGTAGCGGATAGGTGCCTCCTCTCTTTTCTCCTACCTTCAGACATGTATTTAGAAAGCATCTTCAGCATCAGCAGAAAAGAACGATTTTGAGTACATCTTCTGCTTTGCGTTCGTTATCTTCTCCTTCGTTTGCTTGGAGATAGACCCGTTTGCTCCAGCACGGAGCAACATACTTAGACACACATTAACTGGATACTTAGACCCGTGCAACAATGCAGAGTGGCAGGAATCCCGTCTACAGCGGGCAGAAGCTCAATAGCAGCATCAGAGAGAGGAAGAGAGACAGTTGGTTCAATGGGGGCTTGTCGGTTGCCATCATATTGTACGCTCAGAAAATCTATTGGGTTTGTAAAGGGATATACCATAATTTCTTCGAATATCATCTCATGATGAAGGCTAATGGTTGTTTAGAGGCTGTATTATCCTCTACACAATAGTCATATGCTTTCAGTTTTGGTTCGACAATGTGACGAACAATAATCTATTATGTCTAGTGCCATTTAAATACATCATTAGATGATCCCGCGCCATGATTCATGAAAGATGGTGAATGCTCGTTAAAAGAAAATCAAATGAAATGAAGCAACAGATATCCACAGCCCGAGCAGGTAGACTCAAGACGGCAACCCCGGGACAGGGACAGAGACCCAACCCCCTTCGCCACTCTCTTCCCGACGAGAAAGGACCTGTAGGTCCCATCTGCCGCAGAATCCATCATTATTAGCAATCCGTGTCACCTGCGAAAAGGATCCGCCTTCTTTTGAATCATCCCCTACCCAGACTGTCTCCTGCACTTCCTTGCCAGGAATCTCTGCTCGACGCGGATTATATACCGGAAGACCAACCGCAGTGCTGGAAAGCCAATGGGCGACAGAATAAAGTCTCTCCACCCGACGAGTAATCCTGAGCCAACTGAAAGAGCGAGGGTGGTAGGCCACGCGAATGAAGGGGTTCATGTATATGCCTGAATCTTCCTCGCCGTCCCTCTCAGCCTTGGCCGCATCTATGGAGGAGGAAGAGGGCCAGCTTTGAATATCCGCGTGTATCAAACAGCATTCAGACGATTCCCAGAACATATCCTCCTCACCGCGAAATTGCACAGGCACGCGGCGTCCGCGGTAATATGTTGGCTGATCCGTGTCTGTTGCTGCTGGGATGCCGCGCTGGAAGAACCCAGCATCGAAGGCAACCATTCCTCCCCAACAGCTACGCACCCGGACGGCATCGGTCCCCTGCAGTACATCCGAGCGACTCTGGGCTTTACCCGCAGTGGTGAACCATGGGAAGAATGGAAGTCCCATGCTATAGCCCTCAAGGTCGCGCGAGGCAAAGGTATCGTAGAACTTGAACGGGTTGATAAAGTCGACCGCACATGCGGCTCGATAATCCGGGCGGCCGTCGCGGGTATGTGTCGAGAAAAGAAGCTGCAGGGCATCCACGGGATCGAAGTAGACGTCATTCAAGAAGAGGAGACGGTCGAACCGATGGTTCAGATCATCCAAGGGACGCAGGGCCCGGTTGCGGACCTCTGCCAGGTAGGCTACGCGGCGCACGTGGCTGGATCCATCGGGTAGTGTAACGGTGGGAAAGCCCGTGAAGTTAAAATGTTTGTCGTAAACGATGGACTTGTTACAAGGGACTCGATCGCTCAGCGCCGACAATGCCTGCTCGCCAGTTGCATCGCTGTCATTCTCATAGATGCTCAGGAAGACACGGCCCGGCCCGATCATGTCGATCAGATCTAGAAGACTCTGGCCCCACGCGCCACCCGCCAAAACCCCAGTCTTGTCATAGAGGCTGACCGCGATAAAAACGGTAGAGTTATGTAGATTTCCCCGGCCTGGGGTTGTGGAGCCTTGGACGGCTAATTGCAAGTCACGGTAGTGAGGAGGCAAGTGAGTATAGGACGGGAATAATGCGAAGGTTGTAACAATTAGGCCAACCAGCACGCAAAACAGGATGGAAACAATCCTACGGATTGTGAAGGTGTCAGGAGAATAACGTCGTTGTATGCGCCATTTCGCTGCTCGTGAGGTCTGGAACAGAAGGGCTAAGAGACGTTCGGCGCGGGAGACTCGAGCGCGAGTGGGATACCCTTCTATCGAATCATCCCTCGCCAGTTCAATCTCTTCGGCATCGTCGAACGAAGTGCGAGCGACGGGCTCGTACCAGCCCCTCGTAAAACGTCCCATGACGAATCCGGCCACGACAGTGTCGAATGTCACTAGAGCGGGAGATCTGACAGGGGAATTTGGAAGTGGGAGCCTACTTCATATTTCTTTTGGGCGCTTACTTTTGGGCTTACTGTGCAGAGCAAACACTTTGCCCTTTCAATATTAGATTCATGTGATTGCCGATCGCTGCATATTATTTGCTCATCTTGAGCTACATGATTTACTAAGAAATAATGCTTCTTTCGACCAGTAATCTATAATAAGCAAAAATACCCACCAACTAGGAATAGTACCATTGCCCTAGTATAGTCACTACTGCAGCCGCTAGGGCAAGGCTGAGGCCATAGGCAACGCTATTTTGCGTAATACAGTAATGCCAGTAAGAAAAATAGAACCCCAGCCGTGGCTATGTTAATGGGGCAGGTTTGTAGTATTTAAGCATAGAAAATTCAAGGACAAGGTACCTGATGATTTCCTTTGACATTAAAGCACTACCTACTCACGCATTATATCGAGCCAGCCTACAGGCAGCAAAGGCTATGTGGCCTGATTGTTGATGGATGGAGCCTAAATTACTTATACTACTAAACGCTGGGAGATTGAAGTGGATCTCTCAACGTAACGTTGTTAACGTAGGATCGCCTGAGGCGTCCTGGTGTTCGCCGGGAAAGACCCGTCATTTTGCTGTGGGTCTGAACCTTACCCGACAATCCTCCGGCGTGTCTCGTGCGACCACACATTCAATCTGACCAGACCTTTTCTCAACTCTTGGAAAAGCTTAAGCTGACGTGATCTGACCATCTATTTTGATGGCTCTAGCAGCTGTTAGCCTCAAGTCGCACAATGGCCAAATTCGACTGTAGCACATTAAAGCATCTCAGGGACGCAGTCCATGAGGTACTAGTCGTAACTGAACTCGTCGAAAATGCAGGGATCCCAGCTGAGACATTTCAAAGTGCACTAGCCGCTAGGTAGTTAGTATGTCTTACCAGGGCTCTAGTACCTATACTATTCAGTATCCATGGTTAGCGTTGGTGTCATGGCCGCTAGCTCGAGATCGATGTAGACACTAGGGATGGTGTAATTTCATTTTTGGGAAGCCATTACAGTAATTCTGTAATTTCACTCGGTTGAACTATTACAATTTTAATTTATCATGTAATTTTAGTGGATACCATAACTGACTAATCATATTACTAATTTTAATTAATTTAATTAATTAGATTATCAGGATCCTGATCCCTTGGTAGTCTAAGAAAACTAGAGATTTCTTATTATTCTGCACTGTAAATATATATATATTAATCTTCTAAACACTGAAAACACTGCTACATATATAAGAATATATAAATTTTAATGATTTTGCTTAAGACTAGTTTATTTAAACTAATTCTAAAGAGGAAACTAGCATCTGTTTAATTTAAAGATATTTTAAATAAACTAGGTCCTGCCTGCCTTACCTGCCTGTATATATACTTACTATATAGTAATTTCTACCATATTATTTAGCTAATTGGTTAATATACCTGCTGATCTATGATTTTAGTTAAATCATGGCGCTAAGCCCATATAAATTTAGTGTGATTTAATTCTTATAATAGCCAAACCCATTACATGAAATTTGACCAAAAATGGGTGTATTACATGAAATTGTAATTACAATCCACCATCCCTAGTAGACACCCCTTTGCGAATACGAATAGCCACATCCACACAGTCTAGTTCTCAGGTGGTGGTTAGTAGGCTAGATGGTCTAGGCTCTCGAATTCCCAAGCCATGAAATTTTTGCTAGCAGCTCATACAACCAGTGATGCTTAGAATGGGCCCCCTTCCCTAAAAAATGTTCTCGCGAAATCTGCCTCATCTTGTTTCGATCCAATCACCCTAAATGTATCTGCGCATGTATTCTCCCTGATGAGATAGTCGATGAACGGTCGCTGAATAATCCAATTAATGCTGAAAAAAATGATCCTCTAGAGCCTTTAACAGTCGTCATGCTCGGTTCGAAGCGGAGTGTAGCCAGACGCAGTATTCGTTATCCTACAGAGGTGATTTGTGTTGATTACATCCTATATCCCGGACTGTTTTCACGGATATTGGCATCTAAAGTAACGGCCATCCTTGAAGACGGGGCATAGGGTAATTGCAGCGGAAGTAACAGGCTATGTTAAGAGGACTTGGTTCAGGACACCAGAGTGCTCAAACATATAGTTACCTGGCTGCCAAGGTGGCTCCTGTCCTCTGAAAGAACGTTATTGGATTAAGGCAGGGGATTTTTCAGTACGGTTTGAAATAGCTTCCAGACCTTGCTGTATAAGACAAGTGACCGAACAGAGGCTAGAAAAATCATAAAAAATTACATATTTTGGAATTATGGACTGGCCACCCCGAGTCAGGGTGTGTTGGTGTCACAGGGCACGTTGTTGTTCAACAACCCGGGCGATGATAAGAGAAAACAGCAAGCATCCCTCCAGCGCCAACATACATTGATACCATGGCCTAGCTGAGAATGAAGAGTTCGGTGCTCGGGGCATACTGTTGTGTCACCGGGCTCTCAGCGGGCTCTCAGCCAGCGCCTGACCAGTCAGTCACCACTGTTGCCCTCACATAATGGGGTGTGCTTTCCGGCGCCCTCGCCCGCCTCGCTTCCGCTCTCTGTCCCCATGCCACCCTCCACTCCACACCCCCATCTCCTTGACTCAACCCCGCTCCGCCCCTCGACCTAAAAAGGTGCTCTTCACCCGTCTGTCACGGGATTTCCGCTCGCGAATATAAGTACGCTCTCCACTCGAATCTTTCACATCCACTATCTCTGATAGGGCATGTGCTCTACGCTTACGTCCAACTACTGCTTTAGGAACAACTAGCATTCCAAGATATCACAATCATGTCTATTCAAATCTGTCACACATTTCATATTTTCAGTTCCAGTCCTCCTGACTAGAATGCTACTCCTTCACCTCCTTATGTACGGATTATCCAAGGTCCTATCAGCGATCGGAAGATGTCTGACCAGATCACCCAAGGAAGCACCAATACCATGTAGAATATTGCGTTCCTCCATGGTCCTCAAAGTATCATTCCGTCTATACCTTACCAAGGTAATGTTGTGTCCACGAAGCACAGCCCCGAACTTTGGCCAATCAGCACCGGGGGAATACACACCACGTCTGAAAATCTCACGTATAAGAGCCATCAACTCATTCTGGTCGGCGTGTTCGGGACCAGAAATAGCCAGAAACACTGGACAACTATAGGTCGTGCTGGTGACAACAAGCATTTCATACTTGACATTGCGGCCAGTGAAGGACGGGTAGCTGTGGTCGCTTGTAATCACTGAGCGCAGGTCATCTTTCTCGAAACCTGCTTCATCGACGTAACCGTGTCCATCGAATCGTTCTACCCACTGTTCTTGAAGGAGACGCGAGAGTAGACTGAGGTAGCCGTGATCAGGGGCTGCCGTCTCCAGGATTGGGGTAGTCATGGCGGATGATGCTGTATAGTATACAGTATATAGTGTGTCTGTGTGCGAAATGGATAGAGACCGATGGATTGATGGACGAAGCTTGCAGTTGATACCAGTGAGAGAGCAATTGCCGGTCTGATACACAGAAAGACAGACCAGACGAAGGGGTCACAGGCATACTTATATGTTAACTTCCTTCCTCCATGCCAGACGCACGTGCAGAAGAAGCTATTGAGAATTGCGTCGTTGCATCTCTGGATATTTCATACAGCATCCAGTATTAGCATACGTACATTTCCGTCAATCACCTCTATCTTGTGCTGTTTAGCTTCTAGTGTCTGTTCCCCGAGCAGGATAAAATCAAATTCCCTAGATAACATCTACTAAATAGTTGGAAACAACCCAGAGGGTGTCAATTACATACAAGGCAATATGCACTGTACGTCACATATCTATATGAAAGTCCTTCACGTACGCTGACGAACCGGAATCAACCTCATACATTACCGCTCAGCTTAAACAAGACCAAAGAATGGCTCTCGCCAGCCGTGCTGTTTTCTGCCCAACACAACATACATACTAATCAGGAATATCAGTCCACTCATTGAGTGCACCAATCTGAATCAGTATAATTACAGAAGGAACCTCCTAGACACCCTGAGAATAGAGCTGGAGTATCAGGAAGATTCCATGCCGATGGACATTGTTTAGAGTTTAGCTTTTCAGGCATCGGTTGGTACGCGATCTATATGTGGTACGTAACCATGGATGTTTCCCTGTAGTCACTTTCTGCAGGTCTCCCTATGTTGCTGGAACCGAGTTCAAAAACTGGTTTGCTGACTTCTGATTCCACCTTTTTTTACACTTGTTGGTAGAACTGCTAAACCACCCACGTATGCAGTATGTATCAAAACTATACATCTAACTAGAATCTTTCCAGTGAGTACAAACACATACTCTACATCTACACATATTCATCACTAAGTACCTACGTAGTCTTCAAGAGCGATAGGGAAAACTTGTCAATTCACACCTAGCACACAGATCCGAACCATCCCGAAAATCCCCCAAATAGCAGTTTTACTACTGCGTCCCATTTTCAGCCGGGATCTGAAATTCCTCAACAATCCCATCCAAAAGACGTATAATCCTCCCCCAGAGAATATCATGCACCTTCTCCCCCTCAAACTCCACCTGTTGTGCACCACCTTCAGGATCCACCTTGAAGACACATATTTCCTGCCCATAAATAAACGCCCCGTACTGTGGCCACCCATCACGAGGTTGGTTTTTCTTGTCCGCGAACAAATATCGTAGCTTAGCTCTCAGTAAATCATATACCACCTCAACGCGCTCTCGATCCCAGTCGAGAACCTGCCCGTCAGGTGATAGTAATGGATCGGGTGCCTGACACCCAACGGCAACAAACACCGGCCCATGTTTTCTGCTGCACATGATAAGATTTGCGTGGAAGAGGTCGCCCTGGAGCTCTGGACTTGGCTGGAGCCATTGGTGTAATGTGCTTAGCACGTTCAAGTCGTCGCGCTTGAACCCACGTTTGGAGACATTTCCGTGTTCGTCAACCTTTTCCTCAAACGAGCGTTTGAGGGTGTCGGCGAAGTTGAGAATGTTGTATGTCTCGGCGTTCATTGTGGTTGTGGGTGTGGATGTTTCGATTGGAGTGTTGCAATGATGGGGCAGATCGGTAGTATATCTGGCACCGTGGGAAGATGTAGCTTGATGAATTATATCGACGCAAGCAAGAGAGTGAGAGAAGTTCGCCGGGTCTTTATAGGGTTTTATGGTCTCCCTCATCACGCGCATGAGGCATCATCTCTAATATAATCTGGGCATGAATCACATTATACATCATTTCAGAAGCATTTTTTCGCGACCTTCCTGTTGAAGATTGTCAAGGATAATGGGGTGGCAAGGAGCCTAGGTGTCTTCTTCATGCGCATGTAGCTTATGTTAAAAACGGATCGATGCCCTTGAGAAATCATATTCATTGCGGGGAATCGAGGCAACCAGGCGTAATTGAATCGTACAGCAATAACACCGGCACATACCTCACGAATGGTGGGTTTATCCTCATCCTTTTATCGCATTACTCGCATCCGTAAGTCACTTTTACATTCCGTCAAGATAGGCACACAGTCAGGGAATTATCAGCTAAAGGAGACTACTCATCTCGCCAGCTGTCTTGGAGTCTTCCGTTCACAATTATATTTAAATAGGCAAATTGACTTGGCCCCAGTTCCTCTGGCTGCAAAATGTGTGATACATCCAACATTGTCGTAATTCCTTAATGGCGGTCATTGGGAATATCTTCTGTGCAACGAAGGAAGAATAGCTTTGTCTTGAGATAGTGGTTTGTGTGGTCATGGATAAGTAGATATTGTGTGTGTGCTCTTATTTTAGATCGTTGTTGCTGGAATATGAAATGAAATTGGTATATTGATATTTTTGCTCATAGCATAACACATTATCTAGTGCGGAAGAATCCGTTATATAGCATCGATTAGGCATACATGTTTATCGTCCCTCATGTCTCAAACAGAAGGACACAGGCTTCCCATAACCTCTATTCTTTTTATTTTTCTCCGGGACAATGCAAAGTTCATTTATCGACCAATCTTCTGCAGCTCCAACCACCGCAGAGGCGGGAACACCAGCATCGCCCAAGACACACCCACCCAGATACCCAGGTCCGCGCCGTCCGAACCAACCATCCTAGCAATCGGACCAACATACCATATTTGGTCCATGCAGACGATCGCACCCGCCCAGCCAATCAGGAACGCAGCCAGAGCAGCAAGACCAAGGGGCAACTTGGACCGGTCAGCCCAAGCATCCCAGTCGAAACCACGGGTGCGGCGGAAGATGAGGTGTTCCTCCAAAGCGATGGTCAAATAGATGGTCACCCAGTAGCCCATCAGGGCAAGGAAGTTCTCGAAGATATCGTAGAGGTGGTTCCGGCCACCCAGGGCGCAAGCAGTGTAGATGATCACACAAATACAGGAGAGGAACCATCTGGGAAGGCTGCCAAGGTGACGGCCCATGATCTGGAAGCCCAGGGTGGCGGAGTAGGTTCCAGGGATGTTGTTGGCAATCAGACCCAAGGCGACGAGAACGCCCAAGAACTTGCCAAATCCGCCGAGACCGTCATATCCAGCGATGATGAGAGCTCCAGCAGAAGTGTCGTAGGCCTCCGCCCAGGATGGGTTCGTTAGCGTGCCACTGGCGAGGCCGACGCCCATAAGGTTGGCAAAAGAGAGGGCAAGGCCGACACCGAACAGGGTCAGGGTGAAGGTCTTCCATTTCGAGGTGGTGGGAGGGAAGTAGACGAAGAAATCAGCGCCAGCAGGGGCCCAGGCAATGGAACTGGAGAGACAGAGCGAGAAGAAGGTGAGACGGTTGGCGTTGACGGTCTGGGGGTCGCCAGTAGTCTTGATGTTGGTGTCGAATTTCGGGCCGGCACTGCCGACCAAGACGAAGATGGCGATGAGTTGAGGCACCCAGGCCCATCGCTCGTACACGTGGAAAGGCGCCATACCAAAGACCACAACAATCCACGTGATGATGGCAATGATGATGATTCCCACCACCACCGTCAACCCACCATCAGCAACTGCGGATAGCACCTGGCCACCGACAAGGCAGTCGATCATTCCATAGCCCAACATGATGATAATGTTCAAAAGACAAGCGATCTTACTCGGGTAGTAGCCCATGAAATATCTTGCGACGACCTGTAAGGTTTTTGGTTAGCACTACTAGACTTTCTCCAGATCCAGAAGGTGGCACGTTGCTTACCATTGTTCGATTACCACTCTGCGGTCCAAATGTTCCCATATACGCCACACCTGCCGCACCAAGGAAAGCACCAAACACCGCACAGAGCGCCGAGTCAACAAAACTCAGAGAATAGTCCAGAGGCCCGTACATTCCGATTGCGATGTTGTTAGCGGTGATGTTGGTACTAAACCAAAGCAAAGCCATTTGCATATAATTGGATGCTGAGGCAGCGTGGCGCTCAGACTCTGGGACACGCTCGATACCGCGGCTTTCGAGGAATTTGATGGATTGAATACGAGCGTTGAGCCTCGTCCAGGCATTCCCTGAAGAAGGGTAGGAGGCCATTTCTTTTCCGGTTTCCGAGGGAGACGAGACCGATTCTACGGCTGGAGCGGCGCGGTGGCCCTTCTCCTCGTCGCGCATGGTATCAGCCATGCTGGATATAGTGATAAACGGTCTGCGAGCTGGCGCAGGAGGGAATCCTCAGTTGGAGCAAAAGACGTTGAGGCCGCAAGTTTCAGAGATCGAAACGCAGCCGTTGAAGAGAACGTAGGAGGATTTAATGCAAGCCCAGCTGCATGGCGGAAGAAAACTCAGGGCCGGATGGGGGATAAAGAGGAGTTTTGCCCCCCTCGCAGTTGGCACTAGAGCAGGGACTAAGCTAAGGTAGAGTTGGATCCGGCGAATATGGGAAGTAGTTGGCGGAGAATGACTCCTCTGGCTTTTCTGCTCGGGCTTCGCCGGATTACTTTTTGGGAAATTTTTTTTTCTTCATTTTGGCCACAAAAAGTCAGTCACCCGCCAATGACAGGACCCGCGCGGCAGCATCCATGCTTGGCTCCAGCACCCACAGTGCTTAGCGGTTCAAGCAACGAGATTAATTCATTTCCCTCTTAGTACTCTCCGATCCCGCTGGGCACCATCTTATTGTGATTAGCCTTGGTGTTCCCTGGGTCATCACCCTTGCCGTGGATGAACCTCAAAGGGTCTGGACATGGCTCATGAAGACGGATTAAACCGCGATTGCTATTTTCATCTGGAAGGCTTATTTCTTTCATTGTCCTCGGCTTTCCCTTCCCAGCTCTCCCGGTTCCTCTTCTGATTTGAAGTTGATGACATGACCAACACTAAGCAGTTTTGGGGTTAGCAAGATGCCCTCATTGGGGACTAATATTCTGCCGGGGTCCCTCTACCGCCCAGGGGCAAATACTCTCGAGGAA